GAAAAATGCATCAATGTGGGGATCTCCGATCTCGGGGACACACAGCGGATTCGACGACCCGGAGTAGATGGTAAAGTGTCGCCTTTACAACTTAAAACAGCATTTACAAAGCGCGTTGAAGTCCCCTCCGGTGGTACTAGCAACCTAAGTGATATAGTAGATACCTCAAAGGCGGCAATCAACACTAAGTACACCCTTGTCAACACGGTGATAATTGGATGATATACCCATCGTTCGGGGGCAAACTGTTCGACTTAACCGATGTTGAGAGCACTACCGTCGCCGAAACAAACCATATCGCTCGTTTTCACCGATGATGACAAGTGGGTGTTATTACGGGTAAAAGTCGACTGGTTTCTCAATATTAGGCTCGGCTCCCCTCGTGTTTACGGATAACAAAGACAACCACCTAAACAAAATTCGTGAACAACGGAACCCTGCTCGTGGCTAACATCCCGACTCAGAGACGTGGCGTAGTCATCAGCCCACTTTCGCCAGTATGGCAGCCCACATGCTATCGAGTAAAGCGGGGATGCAAAACGTGGTATTGCAGTTGGTGTCTGAATTGAAGGCGTGGTCAGGATCCTGGAGAGTCTACCGGCGAACTCAACACTTATCATCCAAGTCTACCTAGGGGAACCATCGGCGGGATGATGTAGAGATCGTGAAGGGGTCAAACTCCGGTGGGGAAACAACAACAGTATCCGCGTTTGCAACGTTTACGTCGCGGGTGGGTGTCGACTCCAAAACCAGTCTGCAGGGTGTCACCGTGATCGTGGAAGACATTATATCACTAACCAAGATCTTCCTACCCGACAACATACACTTCATGGGGGTGAAGTGCACCCCTGAACTATTATCAGAAAACCAGTTGGAAATTATATCATAATAGTATTATAGCAATGTCTTGGCTTCACCCAACACTACTTAACGATCTAGGGGACACGAGGGATTCGACCAGCCTGGTGAGGAAAGGCGCTGTTGTGCGTCCTACACTTAAAAACAACGTGTATAGGCGAGTTAATTAAGCTATCAGATTTTAAAGAACCTGAATGGTTAGTTAACTTAACCCTCTCCTCACCCTATATCTCCCTGAAACAAAATACTGCCGAGATCTCCGAGATTAGGAATAGCGGTACCGTGCCCTCGTGTTTCGTTCCTGGACCTAATTCAAGTATTAGTCTAAAAACGTCCACCTCTAATATGTTAATGGCATTCCACGGGGGCCAGTTAAGGTATAACTGCTCTGAGCATATAAGGTATCCGATTATAAATCCAGAATCCACACTCATCATAGAAATATATATACTGGAACATTCTGATAGTAAACAAGTACGTCAACTCTTACCCGGGGTGGAAGTATACTTTGGTCCCAGTACCCGTGATGAACGTTACCGTATCATCATACAAACGGACTCCGAATTTAGTTCTGTAACCTCCTCAATGAACCCCTACTACTATTTAGATCGTTTGAATGTAGGTCCAGTTATTAAATTCTCACCTATTCACCTACCTGAGGGTTTACACCTTATAAGTCTCAAGTACGTTGATCGACTGTTAACTGAAACCCAATTAAAATATCTTTTGTAATATATATTATAGGATGGGACTGTACCCAGGCGTAGATGAAGTAGCGAAGACCCTGGAAACCGTAGACGGGTTCCGCTTGAGGCAATTATGTGATGTAAGACGCCAACTAGAACAAGACCGCGATAAGCGGAAAGCACTTTATAAGAAGTACCATAGAGCTTTCAATGCCGTGGACGGGACCGATACTACCCTTATGGCAGCCAGCATGGGCCTAGGGGTGGCAGGTGTTGGGTTGTTAGCTACCATCGTGGCGCACCTATAGTGATGGGGCTCGAAATAACAGCTGGAGTGACAGGGGTGTTGGGGTTGGGGCTTAAGCTTGTATCCCGCAGACTGCATCGTAAAAGCATTGAAACACGATGAAATCAGGGTTCTGGCGAAAACAAAGCTGAACACGGTGAGTGGCGTATTTCCACGGCACTCACTGACAGTAAGATCTCGGAGGAGGAGTTTCGTTCAATCCTCTCTGAACTCACAAAATATGACAAAATGAAACAAGAGATTCGATCCAAGTCTCGTAAGTCTGCTATCAGCGAGGGACGAGAAAAAAAGTATATAGAACAGGGGATACAAAAGCCCGGCAAGCTTTTATAACGAACACCAAAGAGATCATAGGCGATTCACATTAAACTGTTTCATCGAGGCCAACGTGACATAGCGTACGTGGACATAAAACGAACCTACCTTGTACTACTTGAGGGATGGGCCAGGCAGACAGGAATTATTGATTCCAGACAATAGCGTGTCCGCGTGATGCGTGGAGTGCGCATGATCTACCCGTTAAACTGACCTACTTCAGCTAAGTCCGCGGTAGCTCAGTCGGTTAAGTGGTGCGACCCATTATGTATAGTCTGCGCCAAGCTGTGTATGTGGGTTCGTATCCCGCCGTTGTCTCTGCAACTTTGTGTGATGGCAGCCGGCACAATTCCCCTTGGGAGGAAGCGCAATACATTTCTTTGGGAATTGTGGCTGCCGGGGACATTTTGCTTGAAATCCCCGACTAAAGTCTTATTTTATGAAATAAAGCTCTGTAGTAGATGGTAATGGTAAGGGTCCAACTAAGGCTTTATCTATTAAATGAAGCCTTAGATTACCCTGGTCCAGGACTGTCATCCTGTCTACTACTCAGTGTCATTGACCTATTAACTGCATTGTTTAGGATCATTAACAGGTTGATAACCTAGGGATATAGTGGTGTTATCAAGGTGTTATGTAAGTGTTATCATGAACTGTTGAGTGCTGACCTTGGTGTACAGTGTATCCCTTATGCTTGTTTTGGTTTCCGATAACTGATAACTGCTATGACATTCAGGATAATATATTAACAATGGCCTCAGCCAAGATGTTATCTATAGTCAATCTTGTTGATTTGGGAACACAGTAGTCCCGGTAATCTAAGACGTTGCCACTCAATGTCTATAGTTGTGTCCCTTGTGCACATCAGAAGCCGATGATGCTTCTGAATATGATTTCTCTACCTCTATTACAACATAACCATAATTCAGGCATTTTGGCTGCAATCACACCATAATCTTCTGTATTTTTAGCAGAAATCCTCTTCACTGTTGACTACACACAACTTGTTGTCAAGATGATAGTACTGCCAATCAGCATCTCAGCTCATCAGCATGTTAGACAGGAAAAAACTGACTACTTTGATGTGTGTGCTGGAGTCAATATCGGCTCTTCAGTTCCACCTCTAACACCTTGGCTATGTGATCAACTAGTAATTAAAGGGTATTTAGCTGAAGATGTTAGTCATCTTTCGAGACTTTAAAAATCTATACCTATGAATGTAGGTGCAAATCTCGATTCACCCTGATTGTGTGTCTAGGCTGGTCAGTGCCATATCTGTGTATGTGGGTTACACCAAAGAGGTACCGGTAAACTCCTGAGCTGTCTGCAGGCCTTCTTCCCATATTAAGACTACGCACTGACAACTGGAACACTGTCATAAGTAGTGTTGAACCCAACTCACTCACTCTCGCTGAGACTAGAGCATGTTGTGGATGAGTTTGATGAGGGATAGACCAGAGATTAATTATGTCTTCTGGCATGTTGTGGAGTCATTGTACCATGGAATGTGTGATAGAAACTCTCAAGGCATATTTCCAGATGATCAACCACTGTTTTTATGCTAAGATGCTGAGATTACTTGGTTAAAGGTAAATCATAAATCATACTGTATATACTGAAGAATGAGCCACTTTGTTGTCACAGGGAAACTGCTGCTTTTGGAAAGTTTGCTTCACAACACTCGTTTAATGTTACGCTATTGGGGGGAAAGCTGTGGCTGAGTGTTATAAGGTGTTTATATTCTGTGTGTAGCATATCTGAAGACAATCACTATATCAAGGGTTTAAATCCCAGACTCACCCCTGATTAAGTTTCTTGAGTTGTGCAACATCTTACCCAGGCCTGTGGCTTTCGCAAACAAGGTTAATGGCTGAAACTGGCGTTACTGGAGCCTGTCACCATACTTTTTGCAATATTGCTGGTGTCAAATTAGCTCCCTTGCTTGCCTCCCTCCCCCTATTAAGGGATTTGCTTGATAGAACTGAAATACTGTTTGAAGTAGGCCAATTTCTGGTGTTGATAATATTGCTTGTATTGCTAAAAAGCAGCGTAAAACCATACTCACTCACTGTTTAAGGTAGTTTTAACCCAAACTCATCCACTATCAGTATCATTGGAATCTCAAGTAATTTGGCCCTCTGTATTGTGTTGTAAATTGTGAATGTGTTTTGGCATAAAATGCTTGTAATTTAGATCATATGGTTGTGTAGATTTATTTCATATATTTCATTTTGGTATTACTTTACTACAGAATATATTAAATGAAGATGTAAAACATGCTCCCATTACTATATTGCTGAGATATGACTGATGAGATGTAAAGTTTCAACAAACTCACTCAAATCATTTTGCTCACCTCGTTGTCACCTTAATTCAGTTTCATGTACTTGCTCATGGTGTGATGTTGTTGCATGAAGTCAAAGTACTGTAGTGATGTGTTAGCAGTAGGAGAAGGAACCTGGATGCGTGTTAGGGGAATTAACTAAACATGGAAGAGTTATCAACACACTTTGACTCAAAGTATGTTATCACATGATCCTGAATATGTTGTAAATGTATAAAATCCTGTAAAATACAATCAATGATAATTGAGCTCTGTTGTTTACATTATTAGAACTTATTGTTATGTTGATTTTCCCAAAATTGCTAGTTATTGCTATGGAAGACAAATATCAGTGTCATATGTAATTTAATGTAATGTATTTGTAGTGTTCTGCTCAGTATTGTCAGTGGTTGTTGCAGTGCAATATATTAGAATCACAGGTGCCACATCTGTTAAATGTTGACTTGTCCTATGATATCAGATCAATTTGAAATATATTTTGTCTGTCCAGCCCGACTACCAAGCCATCAAAGAAAACTGCAACATCTGGCGGAACTACAAAGGACATTCAGGACTCATGGGACAGCGTCCTCGACATCATCAACTACTATGGCAAAAATGAAGGCAACTTTTCCGAAGTCGCAGCTCCAGGTGGATTTAATGACCCTGATGAGGTACGGCAGCTGATCCGCACCTCGAGCTTGTGATACAGTGTTTACCGGTAGTATAGGACTGGGGACTTGGGTGGTGTCCTGTACATTCAGAAGAAAGGGATAAGGAACCGCTCATAATTTATGGCTAGGAGGGGTGTGGATGATTTTAAGAGGGGCTCACCCATTTTGTTCTGGGGAGGTAGCAGGGGTCATCAATTTTGTACAAATGTACTAGGGGGCTTTAGCAATTTTGTACATAATTGTTTTTACAAAAATATGCTTAGAAATTAAAAGAATGGGGAGGGGGGGGGGGTCATTGATTTTGTACATGACATGCAGGGGGTTCACTTACATTTTACAAAACTTTTAGGGGTGGTCATTCAAACTGTACATGCTCCTCCATAAAAATCATCATCAACCCCCCTAGCCATAAATTATGAATGGTCCCTAATCATGCTGTTTCTGTTTTTCATAGACAGCCACACCTTTTTCATTGTCTTACAATGAAACAAATTGCCACAAAGTTTAATATATCAAACTGTAAGAGTTTGGACTTGTAGCTTATGGTTTTGGGGATATGACTATGATTCCCAAGTAGAAACTATAATTTAGCTGGCAATCAGTCTGTAAAAGAGCTTGATGTGAAACCAACAAACAGCAAGGAGATGTTACATAATAAACAATTTTATTCTAAAATTAACTGAGTTTACAAATCAAAACAAAAGAATAACAATGGCAGTAATAGAGTGGTAGTGGTGATTCAAAGGCAGTATGACAGTAAAACTGAGTATAGTAATAAAGACGTGGATAGTTTTCACGTCACTGCGACAGTGGTCAAGCCTCCAAAATAGGCCAAGGCTGAGTAACCAGGGTGAAAAGTGATCTTCACAGATCTGCTGGCCTTCTTGTAATGTGAGATGTGATGTGAGATGCCTCGGGCAAGAGCATGTCCATTTATTTATAAGCCAAAGTTTCCAGAACTTTCTCTAACTCTCTGGGTCTCATTACACTGGTATTTTCCAGAATAGACCTAGAAATATTCACACCAATGTTATCTTCCAGTCTAAATATAGTTACAAATATAATAGTGTTCTACAATGTCTGCAAACACTGCCACATAACACTATCCAAACAGACCCGTGAAGATCCGGGGTAGAATAGGTCTTCAGCAACCCATGTGCTTGCCATAAAAAGGCGACTATCTTGTCGTAAGAGGCGACTGACGGGATCGGGTGGTCAGTTTCGCTGACTTGGTTGACACATGTCATCGGTTCCAAATTGCGCAGATCGATGCTCATGCTGTTGATCACTGGATTGTCTGGTCCAGACTCGATTATTTACAGACCGCCGCCATATAGCTGGAATATTGCTGAGTGCGGCGTAAAACTCAACTCACTCACTCACTCACTATCCAAACAGTAAGATTTGCAGAATATATAGTTAATAACTGATAACAGATGTACTTGTTGTCTCTGTACCTACTTTCTAGTGTGAGTTAAAACACTTGGAGATGTCTTTCAGCTCATTGTTGGAGATTTCGGCCTCAGTTATTACCAGCAGAAGGCACAGTTTGGAATGTGGGCCATGATGGCGTCGCCATTATTCATCTCAGCCGACCTTCGCAACATCAAACCTGAGTTCAAGGCCATCCTGCAGAATAAAAGAGTCATCGCCATCAACCAGGACCCTCTTGGTGCCCAGGCCACCAGACTGTACCAGGTGAGATTTGAACAGAGATTCTGTGGGTACTTGTTGAGATGTTCAGTGGTATGAAGCTGAGTTGAACTCAGGGTATAAGAGTCTGCTGGTGCTACCCCTGCCTCACGATGTTTTGTCTCAGTCTGTGATATACCTGAAGTGAAGTGCATGTGTGCGTGCGTGCGTGTGCATTGTCTCTGTCTGTTCTTATGTCGGTTTTATACGAAGCCCTCTAGAATGCCATACCACAGTTTAACTGTTTACCAATCCGACACATAAAACTCATGTGATATCTTGTAATCCATTATTAAGTTTATTCTAATCATCAAACAGCATTTACTAGTTACAGGAGTTAATGTTGACAATCTAGAACTATAACATTTTACAGTAACATTATAGTTTCACATTTCAGTATTTGTGTAGTGATACCAGTGCAGCTGCAGTTAGAAGATTGAACTCAAAGGATAAACCCTACAACCTGCAGTCCTATAGCTATCTCTCTCTTCTACAACCTGCAGTCCTATAGCTATCTCTCCCTTCTACAACCTGCAGTCCTATAGCTATCTCTCTCTTCTACAACCTGCAGTCCTATAGCTATCTCTCTCTTCTACAACCTGCAGTCCTATAGCTATCTCTCTCTTCTACAACCTGCAGTCCTATAGCTATCTCTCTCTTCTACAACCTGCAGTCCTATAGCTATCTCTCCCTTTTGCTACAACCTGCAGTCTACAACCTGCAGTCCTATAGCTACCTAGCTACCTATCTCTCTTCTACAACCTGCAGTCCAACAGCTATCTCTCTCTTCTACAACCTGCAGTCCTATAGCCTATCTCTCTATCTCTCTCTTCTACAACCTGCAGTCCTATAGCTATCTCTCTCTTCTATCAACCTGCAGTCCTATAGCTATCTCTCCCTTCTACAACCTGCAGTCCTATAGCTATCTCTCTCTTCTACAACCTGCAGTCCTATAGCTATCTCTCTCTTCTACAACCTGCAGTCCTATAGCTATCTCTCCCTTCTACAACCTGCAGTCCAACAGCTATCTCTCTCTTCTACAACCTGCAGTCCAACAGCTATCTCTCCCTTCTACAACCTGCAGTCCAACAGCTATCTCTCCCTTCTACAACCTGCAGTCCAACAGCTATCTCTCTCTTCTACAACCTGCAGTCCTATAGCTATCTCTCCCTTCTACAACCTGCAGTCCTATAGCTATCTCTCTCTTCTACAACCTGCAGTCCTATAGCTACCTCTCTCTTCTACAACCTGCAGTCCTAACCTACAACCTGCAGTCCAACAGCTATCTCTAGCCTAGTGGTTAAAGCGTTGGCTTGTCCACAACCTGCAGTCCAACAGTTCGATTCCCCACATGGGCACAATGTGTTAAGCCCATTTCTGGTGTCCCCGTACAGCTATCTCTCCCTGCAGTCCAACTGGAATATTGCTAAACCTGCCGTAAAACTAAACTCAGTCAGTCAGTCAGTCAGTCCAGTCCTATAGCTAACTCTCTCTTCTACAACCTGCAGTCCTATAGCTAACTCTCTGTTCCTCTTGCAGGCCGGTGCGATTCAAGTATGGCGGAAACCTCTGGCAGTCAATGGAACATTTGCTGTTGCTGTTCTCAACACAGATAATCAGGGCATGCCAACAAAGGTGACTCTGACACCAGCGCAGATCGGTGTGCCCAACCCTAACGGCATCAACATTACCGAGACATACGATAACGTCCATGTAGGTGCATTTAAGCCTGGCCAAAGCTTCACCCTCTCTGTCAACCCAACTGGGATCTTCCTTGCTACTGTTGTGCCACTGTCATAATGGGAGGCAAATCTTCTGGGGCTGCTATGAATCCACTAGGAGGTGAATATGATACATGTCTCAAATATTGGGAAACAAATAGAATATTGGGTAACGAAAGGAATATTGGGTAATGAATGAATATTGGGTAACGAATGGAATATTGGAAAAGGAATGCAATAACAAGTCATAGTTGATGTGTTCTATGAATCCAGTGAAACAATAACAAATTATTTTTCCTTATCCTGACTCATGCTAATTATGCTTGTCTCCTTCCTCTTGCGAATGATAGTGGAACACTTGAAATCCCTTGAAGTTCCCTTTAAAAAAGCGGACATAAAATCACTCACCCACGAGTAGTCTCCCTTCCTCCTTTGGCGCCCTTTTCAGTCACATGACCCTGCCATGTTTGTCACTCTCTCCTTCTTCGCCCTTGAGGACGGTTGTGAGAGCACCTGGGTCCTGATACGGCACATATCCTTTTATATTTTTGGACCTTACATCAAAATTATTGCTGTATACGGTTTTAGGATTATAATCTACCTTATGGTTGAAATTTGATCTAAATATTCCGTTGTTTGACATGTGTTTTCATTGTGTTTACATTTGATGAAAACCAGTATTCGTTGTAGGTACCAAGTGTCTACGGCTGATCCTCATTTATCATTTCCTAATTGCACTATTTCATGTTCTTTCAGTTCTCGCTGTAAGTTTTGTGTAAATTTAACCTCTGTTGGATTTACTAATAACCTTTTTTCATTCATAGATGTGCTAAGGACGGGGTACAAAGGTATTCACAAGTCATGTCTAAATCGAGTGATTGCGCTGATAACCGTGTGTTAATCATTGCTACAGACATTCATAATTTCAGTGAATTGCCGGGAGCAGGTCGATGTATCAGTGGTAAACGCCAGAGGCCATAAGAGATCATCGTCTGAGCTGACCTCGTCGCAGATGAAGAAGGCTAAATCATCTTCTACGCAGAAGAAGAAGGCTACTACCATGTAGACTTCTTCGAAGTCCATGCTCAGCTCTACGCAGAAGACGAGGTCTTTCTCAGCCGAGATTGTTCCTCCGGAAGAAGCAGACTTTTATGATGATCCACCCATCCTCATACCTGAAGTCACCATCGTCACTAAGAAGACGAAGACTGCTTTGACAACTACATCAGCATCGTTATCAGCGCAGACATTGACAGAAGACCTTCTGTCAATGCAGACATCGGGTACCAGAGATAGCAGCAGTGTCAACTCTTCACAAGTGCAGTGAGCCTTAGATGACGTCTCTTCAGTATCAGATGCATCATCCCTGCAGCAGTCACTTCTGACAACACAGAACTTCAACCTTCAACTGTTCATGCAACAGTTTACAGAACAGATGATGTCGATGATTGATGGAACGTCGCTTCGGTCAAGAGGAGGCTGCTATGAAGATCTCTACAACGACTACTAGCCTGCGTGAAGGTTCTACAGTCTCTACACCGCATCCGGATGAAGAGGGAAGCCTGCACGAAGGCTCACGGACACGACGATCTTCCCCATCTGAAGTGAGGAGTCTGGACACCGCTACCAACGTCAGTTCAGCCGTAGATGCTCCAGAGATTGCTGCTAAGAAAGGAATCGAGGCGTTCTCCCAAAACCCCACAGACGTCGCAGATATGGATCTTTATAGGATTCTGACACCCATCGAGAACCTGCGCGAAGGCACTCCTACAGAGGGGAAGCTACGTCCAGAAACCCACCTTCACGAAGACCAAGAGGACCATCTCCATACCGGATTCACTCGCCTGCACGAAGGTCATCATACAGATCATCCCATAGAGACTCAAGTCGTCGTGGATCCATAGAGCGAGACATGTCCAAATCAGAGGAGGAAGGTGAAGGCATATTCTCCGATGCGGAAGTTAACTCCTGGATCGCCAGTGGCTTGGACTTATCATCACCTAAGGACACAGATGAGGCGTTCACCTATAAGATGTCAAACGATGATTTCGACACATTCACCTTTCCACCGATCGGCCCGATCTCTCAAGTACCAGATAACCACAGCGCAGCTTTTTAGAAAGCCACCAAGTAGCAGAAGCAGCACATCCCGACGTCCAACGTCAAGAAATTCCGCCTACATAAGATGAACCCTTCCTCAAGGCTCAAGAGGTTGATGATGACTACAAGATTATCACCGACTCCCGTCAGAGAACTTACAAGATTGAGAATAAGAAGTTAGTGCAGTTGGATACAACCACCAGACACATCTTCTTCGGATTAGCCAGATCGAGGGCTATCAACGAAACACTCATCTCGAAGTTCAAGAACTCCTCCGCCGAAGAAGACCGGATGATATACTCCACACTACTAATGCAGAAGAGGGACCATCAATTTATGTCGGAGCACCTAGCATCCACATCAGCGGGCCTGACTCTACTGAGAAGACAAGGGTTATTGTCAGCATGCACTTGGAGTGAATGCTTAACCAAGTCCTTATACAGAGCCCCGTGGTCAGCCTCTTATATCTTCAGAGGAGGAATTGAAGAAGTCGCCAGAGAGGTCTCCAGCGAGGTTATGATGATTAAATCCATCGACGCTACTCCAACAAGTCCAAGTTTGCAGGAGTCCAGAGAACCAGAGAAAAGAAGTATGCCAACATGAATGGAGAAGAAGCTCCTTTCGTCGCCCAACTGGAGCTCCTAGAGGTAAACCCGGAAGAGGCCGAGCACCCAGGGGTGCAAGAGGAATCAAACGCTGAAGGCCAGGTTCGGAACGACTGGAGTCTTCCACCCCCAGCCGTTCCTGTACAACCTTCGACAGTGGGTGGATGTCTTCAACGATACTGGGAAAATTGGGGAATCCTGCAAGACGACTTTGTATCCCAGATACTACGCAGAAGTTACAAGATACAGTTGGAAGCCACCTTTGCCACTCACAAGCAACCCGATGGCCTTCAACTATGCAGCTGACCAGATAGAGAAATTTGACGACGTTATCAAGACCCTACTCCACAAAGAAGCAGTAAAAGAGATACATCACGATCTCATCACGCCCGGTGACCAAGCCCATCGTTGTATCTACATCGTCGAGGTCTACGCAGTGCTTTCTACCTGGACGAAGGGATTCAAGCTCATCAAGATCCCAGTCAACTCAGACTGCAACTAGACTTCACCATCAGGCTGCTCACTCAACTAGGATGGCTAGTAAATCTCCTCAAGTCGGAACTGGAGCCGAAACAAGATCTACAATTTCTAGGAATTCGACTCATCACACCAGTGAATCGCATAGTCGTTCCAGAGGATCGCTGGGTCAAGATACAACAGATGATATCTCAAGCAATGCTCTCTCCGTTGACACTACGTGCTCAGTCTAATCACCTCAGCTCAGGACATGACTCGCAGAGGGAGACTACAGTTGCGCCCACTTCAAGTATTTGTGAACGCCCACCTAGACAGTCCAGATCCGTTAATACTACCGTCAGGCTTATACCATATTTCCCATGGTGGACTCGGAAGTCGAACCTTTTTGTCAGAGCCGGTTTGCAACACTCTTCTATACGTGGATGCCTCCCTACAAGGATGGGGTGCGCAGGGAAGTGGTCGAGTCAGGATCAGAAGTCACACATCAATCTGTTGGAGATGAAAGCAGTAATCAACGCTTTACAACATTGGTCCAGCGTACTAAAGGACGCAAGACTCATGGTCCGCACGGACAACTCCACAGTGGCGTTTTACATCAACAAACAAGGGTCAACAAGATCAACAAGTCTGCTACAACTCAGCTTTCTCCTGTTCAGCATCATCGACGACCTGAACATCGGCATGCCACATTCCGGGAGCAAAGAATGTCATAGCAGACGCCCTGTCTCGTCCACTACAACCATCCCTGACGGAATGGATGTTGCATCCAGAAGCATTCCATTTCATCATACAGACTATAGGATCTCCACTAATAGACCTGCAACAAAGTTCAACAAACAGCGACCAACATTCGTATCACTGATTCCAGATCCTGAGGCATGGGCAACAGACGCTTTAAGCATCTCATGGGAAGGACAAAATGCCTATGCGTTTCCACCTCCTGCACTGCTACCACAAGTACTACAGAAAATCAAGCAGATGACAACGTTGCAACTGATTTTGGTCGCGCCCTATTGGCTAGCGAGGGTATGGTTTCCCGTCCTCATACAAGAACTCGGAAGTCCAACCCTGAAACTACCAGAGTGATCGAACCTACTCGTCCATCCACACACCAAGCAAGCTCACGGGAATCCGACACTGTTCCAGCTACACGCGTGGAGCGTATTAAAGCTTGCCTGAAGACTAGAGGGTACTCTATTCTGGCACTACTACGCTCGTTCAGGTTGGAAGACCAACAAAAGAAATTTGAGGCTCCTGCCTGGCATCTCAACATTGTTCTACAACATCTCACCAGTGATGCCTACGAGCCTCTAGAACGAACATCCTTTGAACTACTAACTCAGAACACGCTGTTCCTGATCGCCCTAGCAACAGCTGCAAGGATGTCAGAAATACATGCTCTGGACTTTGAATGAACATGATTTGAATCAAGACATCGTGACATTGTACATCTTGGACTGAGATGGGATTTTATCGCCAAGAACCAACTGCCCGGCCAGCCTGACAGATAGTTCCACATCCCAGCGTTATCTACAGTCCTTGGGCCACAGGATACACAGGACCTATCCTTATGCCCAGTCAGAGCACTTAAAGTCTACCTACAGAGAACTTAAACAAGGAGACAAAAATTCAAGCGCCTATTCATCCCCTTATCCACTGAGACGCCCACGGTAGTCTCACGGACAACAATATCGATCTGGATGAGAGCCGTTATATCAAGGGCCTATAAAGCAGCAGGACTTGAGCCTCCACGAGCCTCCAACCCAAACGAAGTCAGAGCACTGGCGTCGACACTTGCTCTGCATGGAAACTGCTCGATTACAACTATAATGGAGGGCTGCTTTTGGAGATCGAACACAGTGTTTGCCAACCACTACCTCAGAGACATTGCCACCAAAGACGTCTCAGGCATTCACCAGTTTAGGCCACTTGTTGTAGCACAACTACAAACAGTTCCACAAAGGCGCTGAGTAAATCTCACCCCTTTTATTACGTGACTTGTGAAAAACAACGCTCTGGAGAGCAATGGCTATAAAGTCCATGCACA